AAATTATTATTTAGTTTACCATAATGAAAATTTTTTATTATTATGTTTGTTATGTTTGGGTTCTAGAACGATCGATAAGACTTTCATGTCGCGATTAGTTTAGAGAAATCTATAGCAAGTGGTTGTCAACGTTTTAAGCATAACAAAATATGACCCGATTTCAATGAAAATGATTCAGTTATGTAAAAGCACATATGACGTTTTGTGAAAAATCTGTACGTGGATGGAGAAAAATGGATATCATTTTGGGATTCAGCGTACAGGAATTACTGTCGAAAATCTAAAAATTTCTAGACAAAACTATCGCAGGACTGAGTTACCGGTGACACACCGGGGGAGGGGAAGTCATAACAAATTGAAGCTGAGTGATCATATAACTATAAGAGAAATGAATTATAATAAAAAATTGAAACTCTGTAATTACAAATAAAGTAGTCAAAAATCAAAATGAAAACAAGCTTGTCAATTTTTCTTAGAAATATAATGCTAACAAAGATTGTCTTCATTACAATAGTTAGAAAACAGCACACAAATTCAAATTATACATAGAATTTATTACAAGTCATTTTCCTAAAGTATCTTATTAATAATCCATATTTTCATACTTTCAATACTCTGATATTATAATTAGACAAAAGATTACTCATTTTTTATTTCTGAAATTTTCAAATGGTTTTAAATAATAATGGCTTTCTTAAAAATGCACAATGAACAAAGATGAAAAATAATATCCTAGTAAAAAGTCGCTTCTATGAATTCCATGAGACTATTTCAATCATCTATATTTTTTATTTATTTTTTGTACCTTTTTAAGCACTAGACATTGTTAAATGTATCTATCGTAATTCCTTTTTGGACATTTTTTTGTCAAGTGCGCCTGAAAGTACTTTATTAATATGACACCTCATTGTTTATTGACGTAAGATGTCGCTTTTAAAAAATAAAACATATATTTTTGGATGTTATTTCTAGGCAATGTATTTCTTGTTTCAATGTTTTGATTTATGGTCCGTTTGGAAAAATAGAATTTTTCTTATGTCTGAAGTGATTCGAAGAAGGTGATGACTTAACGTGGAGCGTTGAGATTATGAAACCGATTTTTATGCATTCTGAGCGAAACATCAATGTTCATGTGTTAATTCTCTGTCCAGTAGCTCCTTAATGATAAACTGAAATCCCAATATTTGCACGTTGGGATAGAATTACTTCAGAAATACCTGTGTAAGTGTTATTTGCAGATGTAACTGGGGGAAAGAAAATGGGAAACATTCGGGAATACTGCTAAGACAATCCGATTTATTAATGTCCCATTGTCTCTCATCTCATATTGAATGATATAATTCAATTACGGAATTTCTAGTTTTAAGTTGAAATTAAAAATATAATTACTTTATATTTCTGGTTAGAATGGAAGATTTCTTTTTGTATAAACGCAAGGTTGAACAATAGGATACTTGTGCTTTGATCAGTCCAGTTTAGCATTATAAGCTTTTAATTTTAACGTTAAGCAACTCTGTGATTAGGTAGAAAACAGTAGCATTAGCGTTAGTTATATTATTAACAAGAGGGAATCCTCAATAGCCGCAACATTTGAAATTCTTTTAGGCAGGATTAGAGTAAATTAATCAATGAGACCTTCTTTTTTGCTTTTTATTAGCTATATTTTTTGTGCGCCAGCAATACCAAGCGTGGGGCGCGCGTATACCCAATTCTATCTTATTGTTCATCAGAATCTCTACCAGCCTACCGTCAAATTGAAATTCTTTTAGGCAGGATTAGAATAAATTACTGTATGAGACCTTGGACGTGATCAAATACATCAGTCGAAAGGGTTTTACTTCCTGAGTCCAAAACTGTAATTAGATCTCAAATCAGTCAAAATTGACGGAGCTATGAGCTAAAAGCTAGTACTTGAAAAACACAGAGCCATTCAATCAGCCGCTATGCCGCTCCTAAAAATTACATAAAGTAAATTCAACGAACATTATTAATATTAATTATAAAATAGTTTGAGCAAGAAAATTAAATTTATAAGAGCCAAAATAATTTTAATTAAACATAGTAATAATAAATATGAAGAAATAAAAACTCCAGTTAGCTTTCACAAAAAATAGTAGCATGAAATATAAATTATTTGACTTGGTAAAAGAAAAACTTCAACTTAGCACTATTGTAATACAGTTCTTCTATACTACAAAATACTTGTCCTACCAGTATGGAGAATAAAAAAAAAACTCACAACTTTTATGAAAATAATATCAAAAATAAATAACAAGGTATTGTATTATGAGTTTCACAGGAGTACCAGAAAGAAAATACCTTGGAAGAAATTAAGTATGGCAGAATATCATTAATCGAAACAAAATGAACACAATTGTTTCAAACAATTAGTCCAGCTAATTCCTAACAGAGCAAATTTGTTTCATAAAAATGTGTATGTATATCAGGAAGTAGTTTCTGATGTTCATACAAAAAAAAGGAAAGAAAATAAACCTTTCTAATTTTAGTTGTTGATAATATACTGATAAATGAAGTTACAAACATTTGTTATATTTTAGTTTACTTACTTTTACTAACAACAATCAGTGTCGTGTATCTTGAAGTATTTTACTAGATATACTTCCCCAAAGTGTTCTGTTTCGAGATTAAATATGACCAAAGTTAAGAGTAACAAATATTTTTATTTCTTGCTTTTCAAGTTCATGTGGCATGCTGTGTTGTAGTTTACAGAGTGCAGCATAATTCTTCTCGTGATTCAAGGCATGCGCACATTTTATTGACGTCACGATAGTACAAATTGCAACGTTAAGCGTCCCTTATGTGACGTCATTTTATTGTCTACTGACTGACTGACAGACAACACACTACTGTATAGTGGTGCGAGTAGTTTGGAAATTGTTTCAAGTGAGAAATATTTTAATCGCACTACGGTAATTTCATCAACAATGTAGATCTACGTATTTATTCAGTTTGTATGAATATGTATAAAAGTGAAGAAGTGTAGTCCTTAATTATAATCACTCACTTTCAACTAAAAAATGTTAAATATCAGACATAAAAGTAGGGCCAAAATGATGAAGTACCACATTCTTATTAGAATAGGTTTTCGAAACAATAACTTCAAGCCAACACTTGTATTTTTTTATACACATACAGTAATATCAAATCTTATGGAAAATGTACTTGTTTGACAAATATTTTATGAATTGTCTAGAAAAATCCAGAATAGGAATTTAACATTAGTGTAAACATGTAAATGACAAAAGCAATAATTATTAGTTTTTGCGTTTCAGACTACAATTAAATTTAATTTAAACTAAATATATAAATTATTCTACTATGATTAAACGTAATGGACTTGCTAAATTAATATAATTACACTAAAGAGAAAAATATTGAAAGAGTATTCTGCAGGCTTCGTATCAAAAGGATCAACAACATGTAGTAGCAAAGGTTGATTTGAGGAGCATATTTGTATAAGTCTGGTAGAATATTAATTATATTGATATAATAATATCATAAGCAGGAAGGACTCGATTAAAACCGAGCTCTGAAATACTTGACCATAAGTTAAGCATGTAATACTAACCTGCAGTTAAAAAGAAGATATATTCGCGAACGCGTAACAGGGCTTCATAAAGGAACGTATATGAAAATGCCTGATACAAAAAAGTTAAGTGGCAAAATTGGTACAAAATACATTCCATAAAAAAATTGAAGGATGATAGGAATATGTAATATTATAGCTGTGACAACTCAAAACCACTGTTGTAAATTAATGTCGATCATTTTCTCTCTCAGTCCACTGTGATGTAAGTCATAAATGTGATGGGTGATAATATATTTATTCGTTATATTAGCATTTTTACCACGAAAAGAATTCATTGATTTGAATCAACCGTGGTTTTATACGCTGCTCGTATCGTGGCTCTACGAAGGGACTAGATGTCACCCGTTAAATTCATTAATACTCTTTAGAAATACAGTTTACAGACGCAAGAGGTTGGACTCTAGAAATGCCATAATGTAGATTAGAACTTTAGACCTAGGTGGAAGACATGATGTCTTCAGGAACTCTTTCGTTTTGAAAGACAATACATTTTTAGCTCAATAAGCCGTCACACTTACTTCTGAGCCACCGGGGGGGGGGGGGAGGCAAAGATTGGATAGTGGTGGTGCAAATGAATCGTACTTAAAGGGGACTTTGTTTAAAAGTAATCTCAGGTTTTCCACATCCTCAGTACATCATTGGTTTATGTTTGTCTGTTGCAACCACTGTCGTTGCTATGGCCTACAATGAATAATCATGTTTCTTTTTTCTGACTCCACAATACTTTTTTCACATTATTTGCACGAATAAATATTTATTGTAGAAAAAGTTTCGTTTTATAGCTTCAATGTTCGAGAATTACAGAGTAATGTGACTTTAATAGTATATCCATCAATTTCATTCGGCAAATTCATAGAGATAAAGAAAAACATTGACGTCATTGTAGTTTTTCTTGTGTCATAAACAATTTACCTACAAATACATATATAGAGAGTTATCTTTTTTGTATTCTTTAACTATCTTAATATTCTATTTTCAATAAGTGTTGTCATGCATTTTTTAATGAAATTCTACTTTTTGTGTGTTTTAATAACATACAAATGAGTAACTGAAAATTGCGGATATTGCAGGGCAGAGATGAACCTCTATATGCTACAGTGAAACGTACACCTCGACCACCTCGATCTGGCACCCACATCTACCATTATCCAGGTAAGAAATAGTTTAAAATATTCTGAAGAATCTTGTTACATTTGATCACTTGGAACAATAGAAACATTTCAATTTCATGTGATATCAGCTAAACAATGAAAAAACAAAAGTACTTCACGCACCACGGGTATCGAAACCAGTTAGTAGCAACAGGGTATAGAAACAGGTTGACTGAGTAGCTTGATCTGATTGGCTCTCTAGTCAACTCAGCTTCGTGGGCATTAAAAGTAGTATAAGAAACAGACCATCGTCCTGAAGCTTTTGTAAGGATAAAGATTAATCTTTAAATTTAATAGGGCCACCTTATTGATTTCAGTTCTTAGATATATATTTCTTTATATAATAATCAAATTTAACAGAGCTTTGCGCCTTACAACAAACAAACCATACCCTTATTTAAAACTCTGTTGTACAGTTCCAAAAATAACCTTATAACAACAAACAAAAGTAGGCCAAAACTGTGTTTCGCTATTATGCCCTGTTATATAATACAAATGTCAAAGAAATAAGTCTACGGCATGATAATATCTGAAAATATAACATATGTTAAAATATTACTTAAATTCAAATGTCTAAGTGCACACTGGATACTAAAAATCATTATTAAAATAAAAACGTATATTTTATCCGACATATCGACTTACATTAAAGTTTTATTTATCTGGAGTTCGTTGTCGTATTTATTTGAATAATTATTAAAATTGCTATTTTTATATTTTACATCTATCAAAGCATAGTGTCTAGTTCTGTAGAAGTACTAAATATGGTAGAACATTAGGTTTTGAAATGTTTGTCTCAAACATTTTCGACAAAGCATTTTTTGTCAAAATTATTAGTTTTTTTTGCGTTAATTACATCTAAAATCTCTAACATAAAAAAGGCAATGGAAAAATCATCCACATTATGGTATCAACATTTGATATGATTTTACTAAATAATAATAATGCTTAACAAACAAATTTGCTATAGTGATTCATTGATAAATTTCCTTAAAACTAAAATATTGAGGCCGTTTCAAAACGAACATCAAAATCACTCTGATTCCCTTAAATCTTTCAGAGTTTCTTGGATACGCCACAAATGTATTTTAGAACCTCATACTTTATTCGTTTTTACGAGTATGACAACCATTTCCACTTTCCCCTCTTGCTATTGCTGGCAAATGATGCCCACGTTTGCTGCCCTACCATCCCCGTGAAACCAACAAAATAAATGCCCCGCCTATGTGGGTACCTTTGCTAGTAGAAAGTATAGATGTTAGAGTTTGTCTAATTTACTTTACAAAAGGTAAAACTATAACTAAAGCTGTTCTAACAAGTGAATATGATAAAATGATTCTTAAAATCTTTAAGATATCAGAAAAGTTTTACTATAAATATTCTAAAATAGTATTAGATCTGGAATATTTAGAAAGATGCCAAAGAGAAAAGTTTTACCTAAATTCCTTCAATTCAAATTAGATATTTCAGGTTTTAGACAATAAAAGCAATACAAGAAAAGACATTTTCTGTCATTTTTAGTTCGAGCATCTTCTGATGCAGTCGATGATAACTCTCCTTCTACAAGTGAATGGAAAGAGGCTCCGTTAGGGCTAAGCAGGGAAGAGCCTAACACATGCAAATCTCTTACAGGTAAGTAGTCATTCTTTTTAAATATCTACCTGTCTGGCGTTCATCCAAGAATAAACAGTTTAATGTGTCTGTAAAATGAGAATAAGAATGTCTTGTTGTTGATACTATTGATACTTTGACAGTGAAATAATTTGTTGTGATTTTGAAATTAGTTTTACCTATTGTTGGAATATGTTTTAACTAAACAACCATAACTTTAACGTACATCTATAAGATTATACAAGCTATGAGTATAATGCTATAAATTTGAAACTTACCATTCAGTAAAAAGCGCGAAATTTAATAATAATATTTTTATTTTGAATCCCTATAAACAGTAATTCCGTGGTGGGAAATTATATGCGATTATATATATATATATATATTATTTCCACATGTTAAACAAAATATCAACAAACGAATTCTTATAAACTAATATGTTTTTGTTGCAAGGAAAGTATTTTATTTCCAAGAGAAGTAGTGATAATCAAGTCGATTAGATTATTATAGGATTTAAAAGCTTGCATCTTCTATATGACAAATCTATTGTAACAGACATGAAAACCATTTAAAAATATGATATTGATTATATGTTTGCTAATTTCTGTTGATGACCACGATAATGACTTTGATTGTTGTTGAGAACAAAACCACTCAAACGTTACGTCCGCTAAACACCTAAATCATCGTTGAAGATTGCTTTGTTAGATAAGTAGTTTCAAAGAAAGGGTTCTTTATAAGTTAACATTTTATTAATTTTATGTCGTTGTATTTTTGTTTGGAAACATTCTTTTTTAAAATGTATGGTTCAGTTTTGGCTAATTGGACTTTTGAAATAATGATTACATGATTACATTTTGTAGTATCCTATTTCCGTTAAAAAAATCTTACACTTCACTTACATGTAAATCAATACTATATCCTGCCTATATTTTATTTTATCGTTTCACAGACTTTTCTAGATGTAAGCAGTTACATGCTGTTTAGAAGTGTCTTAACCTTACAACTTTAATTGACAAATTTTACGTCTTGTCACTGTCAATCCGAAATTGGCTGTTAGCTGCAACTTTTGAGGTTCTAAACTTCTTTTTAAGCTAATGTAATTTAACTCAGTTTTAATCATGTTTATTTGTTAGAATATTTTTATAGTTCGTGCGTATTATATAAAAATTAAAGGTTATTAAGTTTTCATACTTCACGGCTGAATGAAAGGAATAAAAACAGAATAAACGTGATCATTAACTACGATAAATTTACTGGGGTAGTGTAAAAGATGTATTCGTTTTTCCTACATTTCTCAAATAGGCAAAACGCGACACGTATTTTAAAGCATTAATGAGATATATTGTAATTATGGAAGCTAATACCCTGGAGAAATTTCTTTCAAAGCGTATATCCTTGTTTAAGAACAGTTTACCCTCCAACAGCGAATTATTTTAAGCTTTATTTAAATTATATTCTGTTCTTATAATCAAAAGTGAAATATATTTTAATTTAAATTTGCATGTTTATAGAGCTTTTAAAGAAAGTTTATAGACACTATATCCAGTAAATAAAAGTAAAAATCTATATCATCTGTACATAGTTTCAGGCTTGTGTGAATTTCTAATACTGAACTTTGTATACATTATTGTGCAAATGAATTATTTACGTCGGTGACTCATGTTCTCTATTTCTGTTCTTTCTTTTACAGAATCTCCAAGACGTAAGCTATCGAAACGATCCAGCAAACTATCCGAAAATTGAAATCAAGGAAAACAATTATCTAGATTTAGACAATAATAGGTATAAATTTTACTCTTATAAGTCAATAAAATAGCAACTACTTACAAAATGTATATGTCACTATTATGTAATGGAGCTAACAACAATATTTAGTTTCATTTTCTAGGCTTACTTGAACCTTAAAAATGATAGAGAAAATGTATATTCTGCTAAATGTTTATCAGTTAGCCTAGACTAAGCTAGTGTGATTTCATGTCAAACTGTACTAATTGTTTTTATTACTACGGCTATATGGATTTATTATTAACTAAAAGAATAACACTGGTCAAGTCATTTTCATCAAATGCAATAATAGGTGGACTATATAACTCTTGTGACGCTGATTCCAAATCTGTTTTTGGTTTTTCTCTAGCAAGTCAAGTTTTCGTGATGAGACTGATCAAATTTGAAATGTTATTACCTTAATTATAATTTAAGTTGTTATACATTTATTTTTCATAAGCGTGTACTGTATAAATTTAACCAAGTGTATGGTGTGTATAACGTTTATGGAGCTGATACTGAAAAATGAATAAAGTTGTAACGTTAATTAGCCTAATGTGTGATTATCACCTAAATTGTGCTGAAATTAACACCAGCCATATTTCGATAACTAGATGCGATAGAAGTAAAATGAAAACAGATTTGGAATCAGCGTGCACAACTGGTCTATGTTTACATATTTGATGAGAGAAAAAAGTTCGATTTTGTCAACCAGTGTAATTTTAAAATTACGGTTCCAATGATTAATATTTTTTATCTCAACACACACTGGCTTTTATTTACCTTTTACATTGTAGGGAATGTAGATGGTACTGAGGAACGTTGATAAAAATTAATATATTATATTTTATTTATATGTCAACCGATGCGACTTTTTTGATTCATACTCCTCTATTTTTACAGGGAACACCTATCGGTTGAAAGTAGTGAAACTCAAGTTCCCTTTGGAAAGGAACTTGTGACATCAGGAAAAAAAATATTAACATAATTTTTTATTTGTTTTAAATTTATTGCATTTTTTCCTGAAGCATCTTACTTTTAGATGTCTGGAAAAGCTTGAAATTCATTACAAATCTATTCATTTGACGATGTTATAATAAATAAATTTAATCTTGTTTTTAGAAAATAAATATTTAACAACTTTTCAGGTGAATGCGTTTTGCTTTGCTACATTTTGCACTAATTTTTAAATATGTATTTTAATGATAATGAAATTAATATTTTATATAGTCAAAGCTCACCCAAAAAATACAAGCCGTGCGGAGGTTGCGATTTATAATCATTAAACAGAATGTCCAAATATTTTATCAAAATTAAGTAACGATTTCTGTTTTAATATGTACTAAGCATTCCCCTTCATAGTTAAATTGTTCAAGATGATTATTTTTATTTGTATATTTTGACCAAGACAACGTTTAGTCAATATGCTTTGAAGTTAGTGTTACTCTTAACCTTAAAAATAAAATAACCGCTTCATCAACACATTTGTTGTTGTTTGTTATTAAGCACAAAGTTACAAAAAGGGCTATCTGTGCTCTGCCCACCACTGGTATCGAAACCCGGCTTCTAGCAGTATAAGTCCGCAGACATACCACTGTGCCATTGGGGGGTAACTCATTTGTTCTCTACAAAAGAAATAACCTTTTAAAATTTTATCATTCCGATCTTTATCTTAGGTAAGTAGAAATCAAATAGGATCATGGAAATAAGAACATTTGAAATTTATGTATAATTACGTAGATATTTATATATATGTCTGTATACCTGTAAATCTGTAGGTGTTTTAAATATAGATATTTACCAGTATTAAATGACCTTATAAGTAAATACGTATAAATTAGTAAATCTCTAATTTGTCTCTCACAAGTCACTGCCTAGGAGGCCTTTCGTTCAATACCATAACTTTGAAGATGGTCTGGATGATTAGAAACAAAAGACTATTTATATATGCAGGTTAATACTTTAGAAGTTGTGGTTTTAAAGGTTGAAAAATGACAAAACAATAAAAAAACACTGGTCTAGTATTTGTGATAAAAATGTGCAGTCAGACTTATGGTTGGACGAAAATATGTCACAGATGTTACATAAAAAGGTATTCATCCTGCAGATATATGTGAAATGCAGATTGTATACACCTCTGATTTGAAATTCGAAATGAACAGAGGAGTTTGGGAAACAAATCTTCAGTTTACGTGATTTTTATCTCAAACTGAAAGCCAACAAGTTCCCAATGTTTCGCCAGCATTCGGTATTTAAACCGTAACTGCATTATTTCACAGTTTAGTTACGTTTAGAAGGGTTGAGAAATTTCGATTGCTGTTGATATATCATTAGTAGTGAAGATCTACACAATGGTTTATCTGTGCTCTGTCTGCCGCGGTAAATCAAACCCCGGAATTTATCGATGTAAGTTCTTAAACTTACTGCCAACCTACTGGAGGACCAGACGATTTCTGAATCAAAGTTCTTATTGCTTCTAAAGGTTGTTGTTGTAGTTTCCTGAAACATAAACATTTTAGACGAGGATACATCCCATGAAAATTAAGGTTTTAATAAAAAAAATAATGTTTAGTCTCAGCAACTTTACCTTCAATAAAGCAGCTTTATCTCTTATGGCCAAAGTAGTGTTCGAAATGACTCAAACATGTTATTGTAACTAGATTTCATCGGTAGCAAATAATAAATAAACAAAATCACAACATTGGAACTACAAAAACATTTTTACTGCTTAAAAATAACAGTTTTAACATTTTATTGTAACCACTTTAATTAATACACTTAAAATAAGTGCTATAACGTTTCTTAGTTGAATATTCTTGCCAATCACTGGCTGTCTCTTTCTTTTTTCATAAATAAATGTTTTAATATTTTTGACACCTGTACATTCCTCTGAAATCTGTATAAAAATTTAAAGTTGTAGCTATTTCGAGATAAACAAAAGAAACACTTGGAGTCTATTTTATTTTTTATTCTTAATTTGCATGTAATAATTCTTTGTACGTTTTGTAAAAAAATAGAACTATAAATATTCATATAAATAATGTTTCAAACTGGCATGTGGTATAAATCTAATAAATGTTTTATTAACCTAACTACTCTTATTACGTGTAGATGTCACTAGTACTAAAATTCAACTTACAGATTTGAACAATGTTTTACATTAAGGTGATACTGGTACGAACACTTGTAACTTTGGTAAGTATTGTTTTGTTTTTAATTATGCACAAAGCTACACAAGGGCTATCTGTGCTCTGCCCACCACGGGTATCGAAACCCGGTTTCTAGCGTTGTAAGTCCGCAGACATACCGCTGTGCCACTGGGGGGCTCTTTGGTAAGTAATAAAAGCAAATTTTAATGTATGGCCATGGACAACTATATTATTTTTTGTGACTTAATAGCCACGTGTGATAGTCAAAAGAAACATGCTCAGATTTGATCGAACCAATTTCATTTGTTTCTAGAGTTTGTAGTATAAGTAATATCGATTTAGTATCTGATTCAAACTATTAATGTTATTCGAACCTTAAGCCCATTACGTTCATAAACAAATCATGGTTTAATTGTATTTACGACTTCCTTATTATTATTATACCATTCCTATTTCATAAACAACTGCCATATGTAAGTTATTTACATATAGAATTGTGTGGGCATTTGTTTTTACTTTAATTATTTTTTGGTAATCAACAATGTTATTATCTTTTTTAGCACAATAGCTACGAGTAATAGCCAAAAGAATTATGCTAATTTTTGATTGAACCAAGTTCACTTGTTCGTAAGATTTCTAGTATAACTAATATAGTTTTAGTTTAATATTCAAACTTTCTTACGTAATTTAAATCTGTCGTTTACATTAATACTCCATAGAGAAAAAGTTCATAAAAGATTCTTGTCAAGTAATATCTATTTGCTTGAAATTAATCTCAACAAACCTATTTTACCTTATTGTATTAGCTGTAACGTGTAGCTTTTGAGAATGTATTCGAATTGTTATATAGCAGTTATTAATTTTACCTTTTTATATGTTTATGTACATTTGGCCTTTGAACCATTCTCACAATTTTTTATTAAACGAGCTTACTTAAACAAAACATAAACCACAGAAAATAAATGATCGGGAAAATGTCCAACAGAAACATGAGGAATCCCATAAATGGGGAGCTTTTAGATTTGACTGAGCCAATGCTCTTGAAAATTTGCACTATGAAAAATAGAGCTATTTAGATTTACATGAAAATTAGCATACACATGTAAAGAATTGTTCAAAATAAGTATGTAAGTTTAGAATTTTGATATTTCATACTAGGTTTCGAGGGCTTTTAGCATTAACTGCACGTTTTTATTTGAAAATTTTCAAGGACATGTAAATAGTTGTCCAAAACAATGTGTATTTTTTAAAAGTTGTTGTTTTCCATACAAAACATTAACCGATAACACCATTTGTGTAAATATTCGTTTACTAGTCAGAAGTTTGTAATATTCAAGAAAGACCTAGTAAAAAAAGAGATTATAACGAGAAGATGCGATAGTGCAAACAACGCACATTGCTAGAACTGAGAAAAAATTTTACTTTTTGAAAATAAGCAAAAGCTCAATTATCTCTTGTGTGCAGTTAATAAATGAGTGATGTTTATCGAAAGTAATTTACACAAATGCCCATGCCCAGAGAGTAAACTGTCTGCTAAGTCAAAATACTTGTCATTCAATGTGTTTATAATGTTATCTAAATATATACAAAACGTAGTGAGCATTCAATTTCCTTTAATATGCCTGTGGGGATTTCTTTTACTATGACTAATACAGTTTTATGTATGAGGTAACAACTGAGTATACTGTGAACTTTTTTCGGAGAGTTTTATGTTATAATTAGCTTTCGTTTAGGGTTTTTTCTCTCTCTTTGAAATTGTACTTGAACAATATAAGCTCCAAAACGGATATCACTCACATACACACCCCAACCGCTAGTCCTTACGCTTGCAAAGAAGAGCGCAAAATGTGTATATTAATTCACATTTCATACCACCAGTAGGACAGCATATTGAAATATTTGTTTTAGTAGTTTAAATATTATTGTGTCTGATCTTGATTTATTCTCCGTCTTATAGAATGCAGTCATAGTGTGACTCCTTGCAGAAATCTTAAGCATAGTTTTCAATATCTGTGTAAGATTTGTAAATATAACTTTAAACATGATTATTCATATAAATACGCTTGACCGATACTAACGCTAAGAGGCTGAAACCATATTTTTGTCAATTTGAAAGAATATTTAAAATTATGTTTCTCACCTTCCTTTACAGTCTGTTATTAGGCCAAACAGCAAGTTTGTTTTTTGCTTTAAAACAAATCCACATTGAGCTATCTCTTGTGTCCACCTCAAAGAATCTAGCCCCGGAGTTGAACATTATAATTCCGTAAACTTACCGTTGGACAACTAGTAGTAAAAATTAAATCCGGTTTACAAATTGATTTATTTGTCGATAACCTACGTGGCACAATACAATTCGTGGATAATTGTAATTTTTAATATTTTGACGAACAAATGCCCGAAACAACTTATAAAGACCAGAAAAACAAAATTGTACATGTTTGTTCGATCATACTCTTCCGTCTCTGTTACTACTCGGACATTTACTCAATCACTATTCCATGCTGTAGACAATGACATAAATATAGTATAGTACGCAAACATTTTAGCCAATACTGTATTTGCTGCTCAATTAAGAAAAATGTCAAAATAATAGCTTCATTCCCAATATTTGCCGAAAATCTTAAAATATGCAAAGGACATCCAGTTGTCGCTATAAAGAAGAATATGCAACTTTTTTTTGAATAAAAAGTGTATTTACCAACACACACACACTTAAATATATATATATATATATGTGTGTGTCTTTTTGTTATTTATTCCCAGCAAGACAGCGATAAGTTAACGGACTTAGAATGCTGAATTCCGTGGTTTAATTCCCAGCGGTGGACACGGCATTTAACCAAATGTGGCTTTTGGTTGCTCTTAAACAAACAAATTATTCATTCAGCTGTTCTTTAGAGTGTGTATTTTATATGTAAAATGTTTATTTTTTTTATTTATTTATTAAGGTACCATCTCGCTTTCTAACAGCAAATTCCTGCAATTTGAGTTGTTTTTTTAATACACGGATTACAAGATAATATATTGAAATAGTCTTGTTGCCAGGATATTGAATACTTCAATATATTCCATTAAGTGTAAGTTTAACCATGTTTTGTATTTTTAAAATATGCAAACGACACCCCGAAAGAGATGCAGCTGTTTTTGTTGTTTTCTTCGAAGAAAATACATGTTTACTAATATACATATATATTTACATCTTACTACGATGGACTTACATTGTATGTCACTATCTATGTATGTAACCAATACTTCTGCGCCATCTATTGAATGGCTCCACAAACAAAAATATATAAACAATTTCACACTTTGGGTATTCAAGATTCAGACAATTAGAAAAATAACTGTGGTATGTCCAACAACCATTGCTTTATAATAGAACACAATTTTAAATAAAAGTACTCTTCTCACAACAAGAACACGACTTTCACTCGCACTGTTCGTGAGGGTTTGATTATATCTTTATTGATGTAATTTGTAAATGTAGTACTGAGAAACTGGAGTTCTTAAAAAGCTATTATTTAACCGATACCACTTTTACCGTATATAAACATTACAGTTTATATCAGTAAATATTTGTGAAAACTTTGAGCTGTATACATTGAATAATTTTGATGCAATGAGTTGCGTATGACTAAAGAGCACAGTCCGAACACTGTTCCCGCGCAGTACTTTCCAGAAAAAAATACATTTTTAGAAACTGTATCACTTTTTTCTAAATGTTTTTCAATGAGGTATGAATACTACGATTAGTAATTACTAGTAGAAACAACCACCCGTATGGCGGCATTTCTGCTAGTTGTTATAACTTGAATTATATATTTCATACGTAATTAACGTACACTAAGTCAAGAGAACTTAATATTTTAAGTAACGTCCATCCATGTTTCAAGTCATTTTGTTTTTACCTATTGTTTCTTGATAACTGATAATTGAAATACATAATTGTAATTGTAAAGAGGCAGTATTTATTCAATAGAAGTACATGGTGATTATAAATATAGTTTCGTAATTCAGCACGTTATATCGAACAAACAGTATGTCATATGAAAATGAAACAGCACAATGTCATGCAGATGCATATTTCACGGTTAACACATGTTACCGCCAGAAGCGCCACTATAGTTTATTTCCTATGTTTACATGGATGTAAATAGATATGTTGATTGCAGTGCAGTTGGTTCATTCAACCAACATGAAACTAACAAGTGTGAAAAGAGGTGAAGTAGCAAAATGCTATTACATAAACAGATACAATGCCGAGGCAGTTCTCAGGGAATACCATATAATGTATAATGTATCCACAGAAGGTCTTTCTCCAGTGTTGCTGTGCATTCAGAAAAATAATTGAGGAGACAGATTGCACTTGTTAAAAGTCACATGAAGGCAGATCAACGACATATACTGAAACTATCCTTGAGGTCAGCCAAGCCATAGTATAACAATCCAGACCAAATACTTATGGGTGTAGCAGTGCAAGTTAGGTCGTCTGGTGTCTGGATTTGCCAATCTAAACTGTTCGTAAAGTTATCCAGTCAATTTTGCGAATGTTTCCTTAAAGGATAACATCATGTTCGTGCACTGAAGGAGACGGATTTAACCTGGCATGTTAATTATGCACTGTACCTCTGGCATGACTGGAAGTCGATAACCAGTGTCCTGCCAATAGCTTATGAATCGACGAAGCACATTTCACCCTTTTTGGAAGTGTTAACATGTGGAACTGCATTATCTAGTCGGAAAATAATTCATATGTATCATTTCCTACATACCTTTATGATACTAAAGTGACAGTGAGGCGTGGTTTCCAGTTTCTGCATTTTTAAAAATAATCATCAACATATGGGCTGCATATCTGTACAGTCAATGTTCACAATCAAAGGGATTACCATGCTGAAGCAATGTAATGTGATAGATGCTATGGTTTACATGCAGAATGGTGCCCATCCATATATTGATAACCACATCTTGCGAGAGAACTTTCAAGACAGAATCATCTTATGTCACTTCCTTGTGAATGGTCATTTCATTCATCGGACCTATCACATCAGCCGATTTCTGGTTGTGGAGTACCTGAAGTCACGCGTTCACCGTGAAAAGCTTAGCACAGTCAGAGACCTAAAGAGTGCAACTGTTATGGAAATGACTAGTATACTAGCTGAGATGCATATTTTGCTATAACCATTCGTTGTCACTGCAATGCATTGTGGACATTGGAGGATAACATTTTGAAAAGTTGCTGTCAATGGTCAAAAACCAGGTCATAATGGCGCCCCTGGTGACAATTTTACCTTCATATGCCATACCGTTTGTGATATATGACACGTTGAGCTGCAAAACTTTCTTTATAATGACCCCTAATGATTGAAAAATTATTAGGTATGCTCTATTGAAGCGTGCATAGAACTTATTTGTATTCCAAGTGTTATATGGAGGAAATTCTTAATTGTGCAATATCAACTTATTTCCTTTACGTGGCAAGCACGTTCGTGTTTTCAATTCTTATGTTATCATATTTTTTGAGATACCATCTCGTTGTCGAACACTAATTTTCTGCTTTTTCAAACTACACATAACTCTTAGATTACAGGATTGTGTATACTATACTAGCCAAGTTGTTACTATATCAGTATCACCATATATGATATAAAATATAAGTTCATCCATGCATGATAGATAAAAACGTTCTGATAATGAATTATACTTTTATGTCTTTCAACTGCCTGTCAAATGATATAATTTTCACTTGTATGATTCCAGTTTATAGTGTCATTTTTTTTAAATGCATAACCAATTCCTTTTATACTGCGACATAAAAATAACTTAAACGAAAGTTTATTATAATATAGTATCTTATCAATCTGTGTCACTATAAAGCAAAATTTTATCTCAAAATATAAATTTTCGATAATCGAACATTATTTACTTTTAACTCCTTAGTCATGTAACGAATTTGTTATCATTAATTTATTGTAATATCAACGTTTGTTTAGATTAAGTTTAAAACCTAAAATATGCACAGATTATAGTGTTTAATATGTATTGCGAAACTCCTGCCTACTCTGCAAAGTTATAGATGATTCTCGAGAGTAGAGAGTAAGTATCTACAATATATGTATATACATAAATGCTTAAATGTAGCTCAGTATTGTTACTAAAACTGAAATTTCTAGAACGCCTCCACACGCTTATAAATATAACCAACGCGACGTGCCAAAAAGAGAGAATATCTATTATTAGTTTGCTATAATCAGTGTGTTATAAACTTCGGAAGCTATAACTGTGA